GGTACACAGATAGATATACGTGCAGCACAATTCATGCATACACTTAAGATAGAAAGTAATATTTTGAAAAGTGTTTTTTTGAGTTGTCGAAACAGTTTAGGAAGAAGGAAAGCGCATTCCAGGGACACGGTCGCCAAGAGACAAGTTTCTGGAAGGTATAGGCCATGTCCTGACGGGAGTGTCAGCTACACTCAGCTTTCACTAGCAGCCTGGAGCATGGGTCAGAAGGAACCCCCTGCTCTCGTGATACCGACGCATCCAGGCAGGGTCCACAGTGATGTCCTTGCCATTTCTATGTATGACCGAAATATCTGTGACTGAGGCATCCTGAGATTTGGGATAATCAGCCTGAGGCAGGAACGGCTGCCACAGATGTCTAACAGGAAGCATCGTCCCTGGTCTACGGAAGCATTCATGCCTGTGTGGTGGGTGCCGAGCAGAGTGAGCACACCCAAGCAGCTTCCGGGCATACCTGGTTAGCATGTGGCTCATCACAGGACCCACGATTTAACTCCAGCCTCTCTTGGCGTATACTTGTTGAGTCAAGACTAGGTTTTGCCATGACGAGCTGCTGGCAGAAGGTGTGGTCATGTGCTCTTACCCCCGTCACCATTTCATCAGTGAGTCATTAGGATCTTGGCAAGAGAGGACCTGGAGTGCTTATCTTAGCAGGCAGGTGACACACTGTGGCAGACAGAAGAGGCTTTTCAAACATCATTCTTGGCTTCTAGAGGGAGACTTGCCCTCCTCCCATTTCTGCTCTTAGGATGTCTCTAACACTTCGAATTGAAAAATATATTGTGGGAGCCTAGGCAGTTTGGATGCTCAACTTACTAGACCTGGATGGAGGTGGGTGGTCCTTGGACTTCCCACAGGGCAGGGAACCCTGATTGCTCTTCAGGCTGACAAGGAGGGGGACTTGATTGGGGGAAGGGGAGGGAAATGGGAGGTGGTGGCAGGGAGGAGGCAGAAATCTTTAATAAATAAATTAATTAATTTTTAAAAAAACAAAAAAAAGAAAAACACATTCTAGTCACCGTGACCTTATTATGCTAAAGATGACTCAAGAGCGAGGCACTCCTGAGTCCCACCCAGCACTCAAGACTACAGCAGGTTCTCAAGTTTGAGGCCAAACAAATGCTGAACTCCAGGCTAGCCTGAACCACACAGCAACACCTTATCTTAAAAGAAAGAAAGAAAAACTGGTAAAGAAGTGATAATATAGCCAAATGTGTGTTCACATATTGTAAGTGTGGAAACGGATAGCAAGAAATTAAAAAATGGGGAGCAATTAAACCTGCAGTGGATAAAGAACATAGGAGTTATTCCCAAAGTAATGTCCTCCTCAAAGAAAGGAAGCCAAAAAGTTTTAATCTGGGAAACTATACAAGCAGAAAATCACTTTGGGGGGTGAGCATACTTCTGAGCATGCTCATTTTAAGATCACAGTTCAAGAAGGAAAGATGACAGACACACTTTTGGGCATGCTTCAACCCAAATTCACAGGGCACATACTTGAAAGTTAAAGTGGAGGACCTGAAGGTTTTGGGGATGCTCAGTCGGGGTCACAAAGATGGTGGACAGGAGCATCTCTGGTCATGCCGAGCTCTCTCCAGTAAGTTTTTTGGTGTAAAACAAACAAAACGACTGTAGCCAAACAAGGCAGGCAGGCCATTCTGAAGTTGCATTAAATGGATGTGTTGGCCCTGAAGATGCTAGCAATGGAACTTTGGAGTGTGAGTGACTATTTCATCACCAAAATACAGGCAAACTGTTGTTTGAGCTAGACCTCCTGGAAGCAACAGTAATTTGGTGAGATTCTAAAGGTACTTTTCCACCCGTCTGTCCCTTAGGCTTTACCTGTGCCCTCCAGAAAGAAATCCTGTACCAAGGCAAGCTCTTCGTGTCGGAGAACTGGATTTGTTTCCATTCCAAAGTCTTCGGAAAAGACACTAAGGTCAGTCTAGAAGACAAGGTTAACACGGTGTTCACTACATGTCACAAATAGAAATTACTTTAAATTTAGCTATATTTTGACATCTCCATCGTGAGTCTGACTTTATACCCCATTTCCTTTGTTGTGCTTCCCAATTCGACAGCTTTTAAATGACCCTGGATGATCTTCCTTCCGCTACTGAATCCCTATTACCCCACGTGTCATCAGAGACACTAAAGTTGTTTCTGTGCATTTCTGGGAAAAGCATTCATTCAAAACCAAAACACGTAGCTGGGTGTGGTGGCTCAGCCCTATAATCCTAGCAGGAGGGCTTCCGGGAGTTTGACAGCAGCCTGGGCTATAATAAGTGACTTCCAGGGAAGCCTAACCTACTGCATATGACCCTGCCTCAAACAGTTACCCCACCCTAGAGGGGGGGAAAAAACCTTTTAAAACTTAACCATTTTTGCTATAATCATAGCAGTTACTAGGACAACAGGTTTGTAAATTAGTGTCTTAACTCTTGCCGGCACAAGGGACCTGGAACAAGTCGAGTGTACAAGCCTTTGTCTGCGGAAGTCAGAGCCCCATGATCTCAAATATGCTCTGGTGTGGCTGCCTTGAATTCTCTGTTAAACACAAATTTGAGCTGAGATACAGGCCAGACACCCAGGGCTTGAGAATAGCTCCGTGATGAAAGAAGTGGCAGTTTCCTGAGGCACCGCTTTCTAAAATTGTCCCACAAGCAAGAAAAAGGCCTTCCGTGTCTGTGAACTCTGGCTTCGTAGCACAGTTCCAGGCAGCCAGAGGTCAGAGGTCACCTTCCTGCTTTGTATGACCTCAGTGAGTTTTCACTTACTGTGCCTCGAGATTATGAATAAGCCATTTCATACCCATGAAGTAACCGGTGATGAACTCTTTGAAATTAATATACTATATCTAAACATCCTCCCTATAGCCACTGGTAATCCTGTAAGGACCACTCAACAAATATGACGGATATTCTCTATTGTGCTGATGTTAGCTCTGGAGGGAGCTTGCTTCATGTTGCTTTATATATATATGCTTATTGTGCATTATTCTTAGGCATATTTTGAGTTGAGGCATTCTCTGAATTAATACAATACAAAATAGTATTCCACTGTAACTCTAGATTTCAGGATTATAAGAATTTGGTCATGGAGTCTGCAGGGGATCCAGTCCTGCTTCTCAGTGGGATAAACATGGGTCTGAATTCAGAACGAACCTGTATTTATAAGCAGAGTCACAGGAACTGAAGACATTCTGAATAAAGGATTTTTCTTTTTCAATAACATATAAGTTCCCGACGGCCGTGAGTGAGCTTTGAGCTAATGTGACTTAGCAGTGGTTTGAAAGTTCTGCTTCTACTTTAATGACAAAGAACCTTTTCAGGAGTGTCCCGGGTGGTTTAATACACAGATACACTTGGGCTCCTTCTGTATGAGCTACGTCTAATCTTCAGAGAGGGGACAGAATGAGAACCAGGGCCAGGTTTGTCTGTCTCTTCCCACCCCAAAGATGGTGTCAACAAGGTTTGGGCTTTTGAGGTCTTGCAGAATTCCCTCAAAGGTCAACAGACCTCCATCCAGTATGATTCAATAAGATTAAAGGCTTCCAGTTTGCTCTCAGAAGGGACCTTTCTAAGCGCCTACTCTGAAACACATGTTACTGGTGCGGTGTTTTCAGATGGCAGTCAAATTAACAGGCATAGGTATGTCACGTTCCATCTTGTCTCATTGGAAGCCCACTTCGTCTTCATTTCACAAGTGATTTGGCTCTAATTTTACAGTCATGGGACAGATGATTAAGATTCCTTCTGGCTCTCTTCTGCCCCAGAGAAGCCTGAACCTACGGCTCTTGTCACTGTGTGCTGGGAAACCAAACTGGACTTGTTCTGATACCGTCGTCATCTTAGTAGATCTCAAGTTCTACTTTTTCAGCGTTATCCCCTGCCCTTGAGAATGTTTGTGGGTGAAAACAGTAGTTTTTAGAAAAGTGTCTTAAGTGTGCTTGGTCCCTCATTCTTCCGTCTTCCTTCCCAGAATGCCTCAGAGCAGAGGATAACCCATCTCAGAGACACGTGTGAATGCAGATATTCAAAACTAAAAATTTGGTTTTATTCCTTCAAACTAACAGAACCAACACAAGGCCCTCCTCCTCCCCACTGACCCAGTGACTCTTTCAGAATGCGTGATGTGTTTTTATAAGATACACGTTCGAGTAGGTGTGTGCATCTAGGCATCGAGTCAAATCATTTTTTTGGAAAACCGTACCTGCTTGTGAGACTCTTTGAGGGTTCACGGTAATATGATCATTTTCATTTGCCCACAAAACAATGGCGGTCACTGTTCTCTGTGTCGTCTGGTGTATTCTTATATCATATGGAAGGAAGTGACCATTTTGGATCAGATCAGTTCAGATTCCAACATTTGTAAGGTCTAATGTACAGGACCTTGAATGAGGCATGTATGCCTCCAAACAGATTTCATGATCTGATATCAAAGCCTTACATGATTGGCAGAGTTAAATGACAGTCTCACCTGATAACTAAGAATTGTTATTACTTCTGATTTGAGCCAGAAATGAACATGTTGTGCATTTTGATTCCATGAGACAAATGAGGAACCTGGAAAAGGGTTTTGTTCAGCACTGAATGTCCTCCACACCTTATCTTATTTAATTCAGAAAAAAACTTTCTGAGTATTAAGAAAGGCTGTCAGTACTTGTAAAACTGGAGGCAGAAGCTTTGTGTGGATGGCGTGTCAGGCTGAGCAGGTAAATAGTACGGGACTAAATTCAGGTTCAAGACTTCTGTCCAGCATGTTTTCCCCACCCACGTGTGTTCAACCTCAAAACCGAGTCCAGAGCAGATCCCATAAGCGCTAGGCCTCCATGCAGCAGAGTTCAAGGCTGCATGGACATCAGGGTAGATGCTGTGTTCTGTTACCGTGTCTAGAATGTCCCAGCCATGCCCTGTGGCTTTACAAACTCCACTCTGAACAGCTCAGTGAGGTCCCCACCGCTCCCGTCTTCACTCTTCCTCCTGAAGCCCGCTGCTTCAGGTGTAGATCTGAATCGCTCTGTGTGAGGTCTGAGCTGGCGTTGACTGGATGGTTCTGTTTCAGATCTCTATCCCCGCCTTCTCGGTCACCCTGATAAAGAAAACCAAAACTGCCCTTCTGGTGCCAAATGCCCTGATCATCGCGACAGTGACAGACAGGGTGAGTACAGCAGCGTGGGGCGACCTTTGCTTTGTCTGTGTTGTTTTCTTCTCCTTCGCTGCTACTCTTGATCTTGTGAGACTCTGTTATCATTAATGCGTTTCAATAGCAAATTTGCAGGAACATCAGCGTAGACAAACACTAAACATGCATCGTGCCTAGGACAACTCTGAAAAGTATGTTGGATGCGTGGAACCTACTGTGTGCTAAAAGTGTTTCCCTCACCATCCAGTTGACACCAATAAAAGATTTATTCTTTAAAAACAGATGCAGGAGCCTGGCAAGATGGCTTAGTGGGTAAGAGTGTTAACTGTGCAAGCCTAACAGACAGCATTCAGTCCCCAGATCCCAAAATGGAAAGAGAGAACTAACTCCCAAACACAGTGCTTTGACTTCTACATGTATTCATTGTAGTATGCATTATGTCCATGCATGTATCATACACACATATACATGCTTGTAATTATAATAGAGTAAAACTAAGTTGGAAAGGGGAAAGGAAATAAAAGCTTGGACTTGGTGAGGCGGTCCATGCCTTTCATCCTGGCACTCTTTGAGTTCAAAGTTAGCCTGGTCTAAGTCGCGAGTTCCAGGACAGCCAGGGCTACAGAGAGAAGCCTTGTGTTAAAAACAAAAACAAACAAACAAACAAGAGAGAGAGAGCAAGAAACCTGGGCTAGTGCAATGGCCCAGCAAGTAAAGGGACCGACAAAGCCTGACAGCCTAAGTTTGACCCCCAGTCTCACAGGTGACAGGCGCTTGCACACATAAACTCCAGCACACATGTGCACGCGCACACACACTAAATGAATTAATTTGAGAGTTTTTTCTAATCCAAAGGTGAGCCAGGCGTGCCCCCAAGCCTAAAGATCTGAGTGCCATGCCCAGGACCCAGGTGATGGGAGAGAACTGAGTCCATCACGTTATCCTCTGAACATGCACCACAACGTGCTCACGCACACCCCTTACATGCTCTCTCTCTCACACACACAATGCTCATATGCTCATTCACATGCTGACACACATGCTCACACATACATGCTCACATATACACATGCTCATACACACACATACATACTCACCACATTCATATGCACACACATGCTCATATGTACATACACAGACACACGTTCACACACACACACACACACACACACACACACACACACACACACAGCTTCTCTTCTGTTCCAAGGTGCTGGACTAACTCCTGAACTAGGCTGCCCTGAACACGCACATCCAGAAGCATTTCCATTTAGACATTTGTTTCACCTGTTCTCTCTGTGAAAGCGTAAAGGCTACTTTGAAATTCCGTAATAGAGATAACTGAGTAGGAGTGAGAAAGGAAAAAAAAATAACAGCTCTTCTGGCCAAGTGTGCACATCTGTGATCTCTGTACTTAGGAGCTAACTCAGGAGAATCGTAAGTTTGAAGCCAGACTGGATTATGTAGTAGGTTAGACAGATGTTAGAGATAGATAGATAGATAGATAGATAGATAGATAGATAGATAGATAGATGATAGACAGATGGATGATAGATAGCTAGATGATAGATAGATAGATAGATAGATAGATAGATAGATAGATAGATGATAGATAGATGATAGACAGATGGATGATAGACAGATAGATAGATAGATAGATAGATAGATAGATAGATAGATAGATAGATAGATGATAGATAGATGATAGACAGATGGATGATAGATAGATAGATAGATAGATAGATAGATATTCTTATAAGCTAGAAAACAAATTAACATGCCTTTTTTCAATACAAATAGCTACCAAGCACTTACTCTTTGCCAGGTGTAGCGCACAACGCCCATCTGCGCTCTATGTGCTACCATACAGTTGGTGAACCAGTCAAGGGGCTGGAGATTGAAACACACAAACACACAGAGACAGAGACATGGGTCGTCCTTGAAACAGGAATGCCCCCTTTATCGTGAACCAGAGCCGCTTATATAGAGATCCTTAACTGATAGCCACGCCCCAGCCAAACGCACCAGAAACCACTCTCCTGCCATCAGGAACTCCTGAGGGTCTCGTGCTCAGAGCAGCTGCAAGCATTACAAGTTGTTTACCAGAAAATTCAGGATCTGGGGGTTCACAGCTCCCAACAGCCAAGTGCACATTAAGGGCTTTTTCTGTTTTCTGATTTATTTGTACGCACCCTGTATGGAAAGCGTGCTTGAGCGGTTTCCCATTGTTTTTTTTTATTTAAATTTATTTATTTATTAAGGATTTCTGCCTCGTCCCCGCAACCGCTTCCCATTTCCCTCCCCCTCCCCCGATCAAGTCCCCCTCCCTCATCTGCTCGAAGAGCAATCAGGGTTCCCTGACCTGTGGGAAGCCCAAGGACTGCCCACCTCTATCCAGGTCTCGTAAGGTGAGCATCCAAACTGCCTAGGCTCCCACAAAGCCAGTACGTGCAGTAGGATCAAAAACCCACTGCAGTTGTTCTTGACTTCTCAGTATTCCTCATTGTCCGCTATGTTCAGCTAGTCCGGATTTATCCCATGCTTTTTCAGACCTAGGCCAGCTGGCCTTGGTGAGATCCTAATAGAACATCCCCATTGTCTTAGTGTGTGGGTGCACCCCTCGTGGTCCTGAGTTCCTTGCTCGTGCTCCGTCTCCTTCTGCTCCTGATTTGGACCTTGAGATTTCTGTCCGGTGCTCCCATGTGGGTCTCTGTTCGAGACAGGGTTTCTCCGTAGCTTTTGGTTCCTGTCCTGGAACTAGCTCTTGTAGACCAGGCTGGCCTCGAACTCACAGAGATCCACCTGCCTCTGCCTCCCGAGTGCTGGGATTAAAGGCGTGCGCCACCACCGCCCGGCTGCGGTTTCCCATTGTTAATTCTAATATTATCTAATAGTTTCAGAGCTAGCTCTACCCCTAGATCTGTCCAGTGCTGGAGCCCACAGTGCCCTTACTCTGAAATGCAGTGATGCTGACTTGGAGATTGCATCATTCTCTCAGTAGCCAATGAGAGGGATCAGTCAAACTCAGTCTGAAAAGACTCCATGACACACCCATGAGAAAATCACAGCTTTTCAAATCTTGTAGATGTACCATTTACACAGACGTGAAATCTTTCCATATGTCGTTTGCTTCCAAAATATTTGGCTAGCTTTGATTTTAATTTTTTCCTCCGTAACTCACAAGCATCAGGGTCGGGGGGGGGGGGCTGGATCTCCATATGAGTTCAAGGAAGAACCTGGAATTCACATGAACAAGAGCAACCCTGTTAGAGCTGCTGGGACATTTTCTCCAGAAATCTAGGTCAGAGCAGAAAAAGCAGGCCTCCTCCAGGATACACAAAATACCTTCAGAAACAAAATGCTCTAGAGGGGAGGGGGCTTTGGAGGACCCAGCCTGTATCACCATTCTTGCCTTAGTGCCCTGCCCTCCCATCTCTGTTTTTAGGGGGCACCCATGTCATCCTTTGGGAGCCTTCATCTTGCTCCATTTTTTAAAATTATGCTTAAATTGAGTTTTGGGGTTTTATACTGTGATATGTGTGATACGGAGCTGGAGCTGTGGCTCCGTTGGGAGAGCGCTTGTCTCGCAGCGTGAAGCCCTGGGTTCAGTCCCCAGCATCACGTAGACCGGAATGGTGGTGCATCTGTGATCTCTGTTCTCGGAGGGGTGGAGGCAGAACTATCAAGAGTTCAAGATCATCTTCAGCTGATAGCGAGTTTAATACCAGCCTGGGTCACATGAGACCCTGCCTCCCCAAGCGGGGGGGGGACACATGGGGAATGTACTTGTTTTATTCAAGAAAGAAAATAAAAAATTGAATGTTCAGGTGAAAAATAAAAACCGAGGTTATATAGTTGAAGTGAAGGTCTTTGTCATTTGAAAATATAAAAGCTAAGGGCCAAAACGATGGCTCAAATCCTTAAGACCACAGTTGTCCTCTGATTTCCACAGGGACACCATGGCACACATGTGAGCGTGCGTGCAAACACACATACACACTAAATGTAATTTTAAAATTCCTATAAGAAAACACAAACCCTACGTGAGGAGTATGTTTTGAACTCTAAACTCTTGATTGCACTTCATGTTCCAGTACATATTCGTTTCCCTGCTCTCCAGAGACTCAACATACAAACTGCTCAAATCTGTGTGCGGACATTTGGAGGTACGTGTGACGTCAGAACTCTATGCCTTCTTCCTTCGGTATTTCTTAACGTCTTAATTAATAAATAAACGATCTGGGTTTTCATTTTGTTCCTATGCTTTCAGAACACCAGTGTCGGTAACAGCCCCAACCCGTCTTCTATTGGAAATAGTTTCGAGACGGTTCGCCCTTCGTCTCTGCCTCTGGTAAGCTACCCCGAGAGTGATCTAAAGGCATGAGCCAAGGATGGAGCCACAGCTACCCTGTGCTCACACCACTGTCAGGGCTTGGAAGAACTCCTGACCAGTGTAGTTGGGGACAGCTGCAGAGCACAGCTTGTCTCCCCAGAAGCAGAGGAGTCAGAGGAGGAGGCCACTAACTTTTTTTTCTAGTAATCTACAGGTTGTTCTATACAGAGAAGAAATGTGGTCGCGAGACTGGAGGTGCATAAGGCCTTGCTTCGTTTGCTTATCAGCTTTGTCGTGTGTGGTGCTGGGGGTCAGACCCAGGGCCTCACGCATACTCGCCAAGCACTCTCTACTAAGCCACATTTTAGACACAATGCTCCTTTAAAGAGACTCACACATCTCTTTGAGGCAGGCTCAGCTCACAAAGGTCTGTGCAGGGTACTATACTGTGTACACTATCAAAAACCAGGGAAAATTAGAACCAGTTCTTGCCTTCAGAGACTTCAACTTCGGAAAAATGAGGCAAAATCAGAAATGACCAGGCAAAGCTGTTATGCTCAGATGGCAGATAGAGCTGTTAGGGTTCTCTTGGACTTTGTAGATCACTGCGAAACCTCCCGTGGTATCTCCCATTTGTACGCGATACCGATCAATAATAGAATTTTGTTTTTCCGAGAGAGGTCTAACAAGATCATATAAACCATTGACCCCACACTGATTATTGATAAATGTTTGCCTTGAGTCAAGCAATACAAACCCATGGTTTCAGCTAGGTGGTGGTGGCGCACTCCTTTCATCCCACCTCTCAGGAAGCAGAGGCAGGTGGATCTCTGAGTTTGAGGCCAGCTTGGTCTACAGAGTGAGTTCCGGCCAGAGCTATACAGAGAAACCCTGTCTTTAAAAAGTAAAAATAAAAATAAAAAACCCATAGTTTCAACATCTAGGAATCTTCTTTTGCATTTTGAAAATCTAGTAATTAAAACATTTTCACATAAAAAAAAATTGAACAGTAAAGTTTATCTTGATGTGGTGGCATACACCTGTAATCCCAGTACTTGGGGAGCTAAAACAAGAGGACTGCTGTGAGTTTTAGGCCAGACAGGGCTACACAAGCCATGCTAGAAATACATAGCAAAGAGGGCGGTGGTGGCGCATGCCTTTAATCCCAGCACTCGGGAGGCAGAGACAGGCGGATCTCTGTGTGTTTGAGGCCAGCCTGGTCTACAAGAGCTAGTTCCAGGACAGGAACCAAAAACGACGGAGAAACCCTGTCTCGAAAATTAAAAAAATAAAAATATAAATACATAGAAAAATCTTGTCTCAAAAGCAAAAAGGAATGTTTAGAGCAGTATTTTTCATAATAGCCCCAAAGTAGGACAAAACCCTGTAACGGAATGTCTTTAATATAGTATACAGTGGAGTATTACCCCTCATGAAAAGGAACTGAAGTGCTGATACATGTTACCACACGGATGGATCTTAATATCGTTATGACAAAAACAAACACAAGAGGCTATGTGTCCCATGACTGCATTTCCTGAGGCTTCTCAAGTTAGAGGGGATTTCCACCCTCTTCAGTCATCGTGAAGATCCACAGCCCTGGGCGGTACCAAGTACACACAAGATGCCTTAGAATTCAGCAAACACGGTGTCCAGCCTGAGCCCACCCAGCTGGGGTCTATCCTCAGGCAAGTTCCTTCCCGTGTGAGCCACTTCTTTCATCCACTGAAATGCTAGCCTCGCCGCATGGGTGGGCGAGTCACTGGATCCCTGTGAGCCAGGCGTTTTGCACGCTGCCCCATGCACAATGAGCCTGCATGATTAAGTTGAAGAGACTCGGGTTCTTCACCTTTCAAACTGGGCTGTAGCACAAAGCCGTGGAACACGACTCCAGCACCAAACAAAGCAGGCACAGCGGCTCCTACCGGTAGGGGTTGAGGCAGGAGGGTCCAAGGTTAAAGGTCATTCTCAGTTTACATTGAGACTTTGAGACCAGCCTGATATAGATGGAGACCCTGTCTCCAAGAGCTAAATTAAGTATAAATTAATAAATTTTCAACTTTCCTTTTCCCTATACATCATTGTAAGGAATCTAATGAATGTTGAGGGGACCCAAAGACAGCAAACTCAAACACAAAAGATGCTCGTTTGCTTACCAGATGAGTATTTCCTCAGTTGGCCACTAAACTGTTAAGAGCTCAGCCTAATTCTGCTTTTGCCAGGGTCAGCTGGGAACACCAAGTGTCTCCTTAGTCTTAAACACTTCAGGGAAGCCAGTAGAATACAAATTAAAACGCCTCTGCTGGGTGACCTTTTCTCCCTGTCCCCTTCCTGTCCCCTGGACTATAGTCAACCCTAATCGGATCTAACTTTAAAGGTTGCAACCTCTTTTCTCAGTCTGATTTGCCGGCCGTGATTTTTTTTTTCCTTTCCTGCGCCCACTGTCAGTCATTTTTTTTTAATTATAATTTGCAATACTTTTGTCTGCATATTTGAATGGGTTTAAGCTGTCTGACCACTCTTCTCTCATGCTGTCTGCGGCAGTCAGATTCTTCGGGGCTCAGTGCTCCTGAGATTCTCAGTCTCCCACTGGCAGCTTCTCAGTCTCTCACCAGCCATCCAGTGCTTTCTCTAGGTATTTGTTTCTACCCAGCCGTGTGCTATTTGTTAATAGAATTCAAACCATGCAGAAGAGTCTCAGTTTCCGTAACCAGATACTCCCAAGGTTAGGAAAATCCTAGTGGGTGCGGTAACCCATGCTTCATTTCCATATTTTATGGGTCAGGCCTAAGCAAGGCTGCTGGAGTTTACAAAGGCTTGCCTGTCTCCCCTCAGGATTTCAATGATGAATTCTCAGACCTGGATGGAGTGGTTCGAAGACGAAGGCAAGACATGGAAGGATACAGCAGCTCCGGCTCCCAGACTCCCGAGTCCGAGAACTCCCGAGGTCTGGGGAAATTGTGTCCCCATTCAAGTTCCATGTCCCACAAAACACCCTCCCCTCGCCTTCTTCAAAACACAAAACCAGGCCCACCCTTCTCTTCCTAGTTAATGGTTGCAAAGGAAATCTGGGGAGAGGGATCCTAAGGAAGAGAATTTCCTCTGTGGCAAAATCCATCTCTTTTGTCCATATTTGACAAACATCTCTTAAGCTGATAAGCTAGGGTGACTGACAGAGATCAGCGTGAGGTTCCTCACCTATGTCAGTCTTAGTAATAAATAGGAGACTATTGTATACTTTGTACCTGTGGATGCCGACCCCGTGACCCTGCATCATTTTATTTCCTGGTGAACTCTGTGTTTCGGTCTTCAGGCCCCACATCCCACTCATGAGAGCTTCACAACGTGACCATCGTGTAGATCAAGGAATCCCGGGTTTTGTAGCTGATCCCAGGATTTTTAAATATATTGGGGAGCAAACTGACCTCGCTTCATTTTCTTGACAGACTTCCACGTGACCGAGTCCCAGACAGTTCTGAACGTCCCCAAGGGCGAAGCAAAATCACCTCGGACAGATGCGCATGGGAACAGAGCGCCAGATGGGAAAGCCAAGAGCCTGCCTGCGCGTGGTGAGGAGCAGGGTTTGGACGGGACCTGCGCGTGGTGAGGAGCAGGGTTTGGACGGGAAAGCGACTTCTGTTGGTAGCCAGTAAAGAGCCCAAGTGCTTCACACCATGGTTGCTCCCAGGGTTCCTCGCTTCCTTCCTCCTTTTGGTCTCTTCATGTCAAATCCCACTTACTAATTCAGTAATAGTTAGTTCCTGGTTCTGGACTTTACCGGGGGTCACGGTGGAAGTTGCCACATTAGTCTCAATACTTGGAGATTATGAACCAAAAGTTGGTGGTTAAACTCGTTACTGGCTTGTTTCTTACTTATTAACTATAATAATAATAATAATAATAATGGTGTTACATTGTAACATTGACCCCACCACCACCCAATACAATACTTGGCAGGAGGAAGCCTGTCAAATATATATTACTAGATAAAATGACTTGGGGAAAAAAAAATGAACCTACTGGTTAAAATACCAAGGAGGAGGCTTCCACTAAACTTCCCTTCTACCTGGGAATGAACCTATCTCAAGAACCTCTTCCCTGTTGAAATACTGTTAAGTGAAAGAAGTATACTGGGGTGCTAAATTGTTGCTCTTTTGTTCCCCTCAACAGGCCCGTCAGAAGCTATTGGTGTCTTGCATAGCGTCAAGTCTCAGAAATGCCCAACTCTCCGCCACATTCTTATATTCTATGCAGTTATGTAAGTAGATGTGTTTACTCTAAGTGGTTTATGTAAATGATCCTGTTTTGCCGATGAATAATCTCTTCACGTTGCCAAGAGTCATTGTGAATCCCACTAGTGCTGACACAACCCACATATTTTTCTTGGCAATTTCTGTTTCCTTCTCGGATGTTTTTTTAATGCCCCCCTCCCCCTCAGGCTTAGGTTAGCTTTTCAGAATCAGTGTGCTGAACCAGCCACAGAACCGTGGACTGAGCCACAGTCAGTAACTCCCGAAGCATCTTTGTTCTGCTTATTTATTTTTCTGGGTGTTGAACTTCCTCTGAACTGAAGACAAAATATCTTCAAGATTTTACTGACAACTTAGTTGCAGACATTTTTTAGCATTTCAATCAGTTTCCAATCTCCAACCAATTGCTTTTCTGAGAAGAGCCAGTTCAGGTCTAAAATGTCTCTCATACCAGAGGGGGGTAGATACGTTCATCTGGTGCCCATTAAAGCAAGGAATTTGGGACTCTCCAGGGAACAGAGTTTGCTGCTCCTCTGCTCAGGCTCCTGGACCAGAAAAAGAGAGTGCTAAAAAGGATGGGAGTTTCAGCTTAGCCATCCTGCTTGGGTCTGGCCTTAAGCAATCCTATAAGAACAGCCTTTTTTTTTCTCTCTCTCTCTCTCTTTGAGAACGTGGGTACCAGGATTTTAAGTACCCTTGCTGTGAAATTTTATAATAAACTTTCCATTTTCTTTCTTTTGTTTTATTTTTTATTATTACTTTTCTATTTTTTATTTCATTTGAATGTTTTGCCTGCATGTATGTCTGTACACCACATGCACACCTGGCACCCATGGAGGCCAGAAGGCATTGGATCCTCTGGAGCTGGAGTTTACAGTGTGAGCCACCCTGGGGGTACCAGGAATCGAACTCAGGTCCTCTGGAAGAGCAGCCAATGCTCTTAACTGCTGAGCCGTCTCTTCAGCCCCTCCACTTAGACCTTATTAAAGTCTCCCAGGCCTTTGATTAATTTTGAAAACGCTCCCAAAGTAGAAAAAGAATGGCTCTGAGTTCATTGTTTTTTAAACATCGGTTCCTGGCCAGTAATGTATTGGAAATGTCTTGTTGCCCCTCTAGTGTCTGTGCACTGATCATCTCGACCTTCTACATGAGACACAGAATTAACACTCTGGAGGAGCGCCTGGGGTCCCTGACGTCCATTGTGGAACCCTACAATACTGAGTAAGACGGCTTCCCAGTGCTTGCTCTTCGGATTAGCGTAACAGCTGTCCTAAGTTTAGAGTCCTCCTTGGGAAACACCAAGAAACCATTCTGTATGAAGCACTTGCCTGTCCTCTCCTCTAGCCTATGGTTTTCTGTTCAAACTTAACAATCCATGCCTTTCTCTGCCATGGTTGCACTTAATGCTGTTTCTCTTTTTCCCTACAGGCAGCCAGTCCCATCAGGACTGGGATCACAAGTGCAGTTAAATGTGGAGGCCCTTTGCCAAGAGCTTACAGCTAACATAGTGAAATTAGAAAAGGTAAGTCGATCTTTCCTGAGTACAGGAGCAACCTGATCATTCCTTTCGACGGCCACTGGTCATTTTTAGTTCCATAAAGAAATAGAATTTAATCGCCCCACAAAACGATGATCTGGTTGCTCTGTCATTTATGTCCCTGGCTGTACATCAGACCACTGATCAGTGATCAGTGGCACTGGGGTTCGTGGAGGGATGCATTAGGGAGGAGACTCCGCTCACATGAATATTGTGTTTAATCCCTGTCACTACCCTGGCTCATAAGAAATAAAGTTTTAAATTACCTTGCTCCAGCTAGAAGGCTGTTATCTGGGGGCCTAGAATTTGAACCACTGGCCAAGTTGTGGTTAGAAGTCTCCTGCTTGCTTTAGGGGCTGCACACACAGCTCAGCAGGTAAGGGCACTGGCTGCTCTTCCAGAGGACATGGGTTCAATCCCGAGCTTCCACATGACAGCTCACACCTGTCTGTAACTCCTGTTCCAGGAGATCCGACACCTTCACATAGACATGTATCTTCACATTGACATGTATGTATGTCTATGTGAAGACACATAAAATAAAATAATGAATAAAATCATTTTTTAAAAACTGGGTATGGTGACACACACCTTTAATCCTAGCTCTTGAGAAGCAGAGGAAAGAGGATCTCTGAGTTCTAGCCAGCCTGGTCTACAAAGTGAGTTCTAGGCTAGCCACGGCTACACAGAGAAATCCTGTCTTGGGGGGTGAGGGATCCTCTGCTTGGAATGGGCTCAGTGATCTTTAGCACTCAAGAGGGTGTGGGTTCAATCCTAACAATAAGTAAATCTGCCTTCTGATTTAGTGCTCATATGCTTCTATCTCCAGAATATCTTCCTTGGGTCAACTCTGTCCTTAGTTAGCTTCATTCCTAGATTTGATTTGGTAAGAGGATGAATGAGGAGAGGGTAATTCATAACTGTCCTACAGATACACCTAAGTATCAGGGTTTATTTCTCCTTTCAAACAGTTCCATTCCTTTCCTATCTGGTAACTCCTTTGGTTTTGCCCCAATGCTTTACCTGGAGCCCTCCAGAGTTGGGGGGCACTGTTGTTTTTCAGTTTCACTCCTTCTGACTTGTAAATGCTGTCCTTTGGATCGGAAGCACACAGAATCCTTTCGCCTTTCTCCCTCCGCCTGTGCCAAGCCCCTGCCAGGACACGGCAGAAAGATTTGTTCCCCATCCGCAGTTGGCATGTCTGTGTGGGGCTCAAGCCACGCCCAGCTGGGCGGCTAGAGAGACTGCTGGAAATGAAGGGAGGCCACATGCATCCCAAAGTAGAGTCTGTAAAACATAGATTTGGGTCAAAATGTTCCCAGAGGCGCTTGAGCTGTGGCCTGGCACAGCCTGGGAATGAAAAGGCCTACCGAGATGCACTGTGGGAAATCCTGAGGCATGACTCAGCTCTTTACAGCAATTCCTTTCTGCTGTAAGAGACTGGTCGTATCTAAACCTCGTGGTCATTCCGCAGCTCTGCTCCCCGTTTCTGTTCATTGTCCCTGCCCCCCTCAGTCACCTTCACAGGAAATCCAAGGGTAACCTCCCCTTCGAGTCCCACGAAGTCAGTCACGCCACGCTGGCCCCGGACCACCCATCTGACACCGTGAAATTGAATCCCGTTATAAATTTTCTTTCTATTTTCTGTTTATTATTATGCGATGTGAGGAAGTATAAGGAGTGTGTGCGCATGGGTTCCTTAACACGTGGTAGGGGTCAGAGAGGACAACTCTTGGGAGTCAGTTCTTTCTTTAGCGGGTCCCAGGAACAGAACTGAAGTTGAACAAACTTGCACTGCCTGCGTTTTTACCCACGGAGCCACCTCCATGGCCCCTATTTGTATTTTCTGTATTTTCTAATACTCCTGAGAATCAGCATTTAATATATTTATTGACTGCTGGAGTTTTCGCTATCAGTTGCTTATTTATCTCTTTTGTTTGTGTTGTGATTTTTTTTTTGTCTCTATAGGTATGTTTCTTTCTCTTTTTTTTTTCTTTTTTTCAGTTTTTCAAGACGGGGGTTTTTCTGTGTGTATCCTTGGCTGTTCTGAAACTCACTTTGTAGACCAGGCTGGCCTCAAACTCAGAGATCTGCCTGCCTTGGTCTCCTGATTTCTGGGGTTAAAGGCTTGTGCCACCACTGCCTGGCATTGTTTGCTTCTTTTCCACGTTTATTTGTATGTGCGTGTGTGCTCACAAGCACGCGTGTGTGCATGCACATGATACCACATAGCACACGTGGGAGTCAGAAGACAATTTGTGGGAGTCAATGTGGGTTCCAGGGTTCAAACTCAGGTAGTCATGCTTGACAGCCAGAACTAACCCCTAAGCTTCTAGTCTAGAGGTGACATTGAAGCTAGCTGGGACGTCTGCTGAGCCATCTCACCAGCTCAGAATGCTTCCAGATTTGTTTTTACTTTAGTGGCAAGTGTTTGCCTGCATGTATGTATATACAATACATGTGTGCAAGTGCCCCCTTGAGGCAGAAGAAGGCATTACATCACCCGGAACTGGAGTTGCAGGCAATTGAAAGCCACCTGATATGGCTGCTGGCAACCAAACCAGGGTTCTCTGCAAGAGCAAAAAATTCTCTTATGTTGGGAATATTTGGAGTCCTGGCCTTCAGCTGCTCTTCCTTGCTAGAGATCTTTACTTTCCTTCTGATTTGAGTTACTAAAAGCTGTGTCAAAGTTGCCAGCTCTGCTTCACGAGCACATGTTGCCTTAGCCTTGAAGATCAGCGGATAAGGTTTTCACCTGTTGGCCCACCTGACTGTTGGGTATATAAGCCTCCATGGTGCTATTGAATAAAGGGCTTCTTACCACTGTCTAGAGGTCCACATCTCTCTGTCTCTGTGTGTCTTTGTGTGTTTCAACCTCCAGCCCCTTGCCCGAAGCTCGCAAACTGTATGTTAGCACATAGAAGCGCAGACAGGCGGTGTGCACCTGCACTCTTACATGCTAAACCTCTCCCCCCAAGTTTTTTTTTTTAATGGGTAAAGAAGTAATTATTTTCCTAGGACTGGAAGGGGCATTGATGGTAGATTGATACAGGAGGAAGAACCTAAATTTGAGTCCTTTGCTACGTGTGTACATGGTCCTGTGACTCTTCCTCCTCCCTTGCCCTCAGTTTCGTATGCAGACCCAGCCTGTGTATAAGATGACACAAATCCATCAGTACCTCACCCTCATCCTGGAGGCCCTTTCTTTCTGCTTACCCGGAGTCTGCCTGCCTGTAGGATATCGTAGACTCCTCTGAGCAGGGTCTTAGTTTGGTCTGTAGTGCTATCACTGGATGCTACGATTGAGTCATTTATAAACAGAAGGGATTTATTGAGCTTTCCGTTCCGGAGGTTGGGAAGTTCAAAGTAGGGAGGGTATACCTAGTGAAGAACTTCCTGCTGATGGAGACGCCATGGTAAGGCAGAGCGAGCTTGCTAACCTTGGTTGTCGCTTATTACCAAGCCTCTAATGCAACTCTTAGTAAAGCCCCACCTTAAAATACCAACAGCGCAGGACTTTGGGGGTTCCATTTCAGCATGAGTTTTGTCGAGGGGGGGACACACAAATACCAGGCTGTAGAGTATATTCTTTTTTTATCCACAGGGTTCTCTACCCGATCATAATATTGGTTCAGAATCTCTTGCTCTGAATTCCTTAAAACTGACCTATTCTGTGTTTTCTGAGGGCATTTTAATACCCAACTGTGGACTGTAGACCATGGGGTAGTTGGTCTTTCTGGAAGCCAGTCTTCTGTGGATGTTATGCAAAGCAACATGTAATAGAATTGCTAAACATCATGACGCTAGTTAAAAACACAGGGTGGAGCTTTATTTAAATTTAACCTTCGCATAGCTTTTTATTCTAGGTAGGATAAGGTCTAGCATTTCCCAGCCGTAGCAAATATACTCTTAAGAGACATACTGTAATTTCTAACAATGGCATCTCTTTTATTGTCTCAAGATACAAAACAACTTACAAAAGCTGCTTGAGAATGGTGACTGAGTGACCAGATCCTGGGGCCAACATAATACCTCATGTTTTCCCTTGAAGAAGGTGCTTCCCGAGAGAGTCTGTTATGCGCCCCCTGCTGGCCAGAGGCGCAAGAGACTGAGAATCCAGCTGTGTTCGCGCTTGGAGGTCTCCAGCTCAGAAAGGGGGGAAAGGGAATAATTTTGCTTTTGTGCAATAAAAGTTGACCTTGTCTCTGCTGCTGCCTGAAGAAAACAGACCCATCTCGGAAGGTGAGCAAGGTTCTGGAGGACGCCTGTAGCGTCAGTAAACCCTGCACTCCATGCTTTTCAGCCCTGCCCAGCCTCCTCTTTGCTCCCTTCATGTCCCAACCAACCTTCAGACCTAAGACTCGCAACGGTCCTTTAAAGAATTAGCCATGCGCCTCCAACAAGGCACTGAATAGCTCCAAATGAGCAGACTTGCTTCGAACCTCTATGTTTTTGACTCTATTCCCTCCCCCCCTTATGTCCAGATTTCTTTCATCTGTGCGTTTCAGTTTCAAGCACGTCTGATAAAGTGAATTAAATGTTCCGTTTGTGTTATACTGTTTTGTTCCCCTGGTCTAGTACTTAATCGGAGTGATTCTCCCCTACCTCCGATCAGGAATCCTTGAGGTGGGAGATGGAAATACTGAATCAGATTCGCTCTGAAACCAAAACTAATCTTTAAGCCAAAAGTTGTGATTGTGATTTTCTATGCTATGGAAAAGTACTGTTCTTAAGATTGTAGTGGGCTACGGTGGCAGTGTGGAACCAGGATGTCTGTGTTACTCCCTCAACACCATGGTAATCAAACGCCCTCCTCCTACAATAAAGCAATAAGTGGTGGTTTTGCTAACTTTACTTACAGTATGGGTTGGATTTTTTTTATTAATAATTATTTAGGGTACCGTAAGATCTGTAAGTGTAAACCATTCTCTCTGCAATGCATTTTATAATCATTTCTGTGAAATGTACTTTGTTTAATCAGATAAGCTAATAAGTGGAGCGGTTACGTCCTTTGAACTTGTCAGCCCACTGGGTAACTGTGCCTGGTGCACGGGCTTTTAATAAATACTCATTGGCTAAAACGCTCTACTTAACTGTTTCCTTGGTTTGTAAATTCTTTTACCTAAGGCTTACATCTCCTCGCCTCCACACGATGACTCTCAACTTCATACTATACTCCCCGCCACTGCCGCCGCCACAGAGGATTTATTTCAAAAATTAAAAAACAAATGGGGGCATTATAATGGTATCAAGGAAAGAAAATGAACATTGAATTCAGTAGATAAGTGTTTGAATCCTAAGTTTGATTGACATTTTATGAGGTGTTTAGCCTCAGACAGGATAGTTTGCCGTCCTCTTGCCCATTTTACTCATGGAACCGAAATTATCCAAGACCAGAGTGCTTGCGTGGGTATGGTGAAGCTTCAATTGTTGGGCAGTAGTTTCCCTCCTAACAGGTGCCGTGGTTTGCTTTGTTTTGCTTTTTAATTTTATCTGCATGTGTGTATTTGTGCACATGAGCAGGTCAACAAGAACAGCTTCCGGGAATCAGTTCTCTCTGAAGCACAGCTCCCGGGGACAAACTTAGATCATGTGGCTTGCTCTGTGAACCCACTGTTAAGGGCTCTGCCATCTAGAGATTCATCTTAAAGCAATAACCAGGTAGATAGCAGTTTTGCATGGAAGAAAATGTTTTTGAGAAAGGGTCTTATTATGTAGCTCTTGCTGGAACCTGCTATAAACCAAGCTATTCTTTGACTCACAGGGGTCTACCTACCTCTGCCTTCCAAGTACTGGGTTTAAAGCCACATGTCACACTCAGCCTCCGTCTTGGAAACTTTCTGTAGCAGAATAGGTTTTGTTTTGGCGTGGCTTTGTTTTTTGTTTATTTGTTTGAGACAGGGTTTCTCTGTGTAACAGACCTGGCTGTCTTGGTACTCACTCTGTAGACCAGATTGGCTTCGAACTCACAGAGAGATCCACCTGCCTCTGCCTCCCGAGTGCTGGGTTTAAAGGAGTGTGCCACTACCACCCAGTTGAGCAGTTTTTAAGAAAGGTCCATTGTGGAACCTTGTCACTGTTTGCATACCTCCCTGTTAGAGTTCCTGCCATCTCACCAGCCCAGAATATCTTTTCAGAAGCTGCCCCCCCCACGTTTTATTATATTTATCTCATGGGAGGGGGCAGCATACATGTGCATGATGCACAGGTGACTGCTTGCAGGAGTCGATTCTCGCTCCGTATGAATCCCAGGATTCAGGTTATTAGGTTTGGCAGCAATCTCTTTTACCCACTGAGCCATCTTGACAGCCCCTTATGTACTGCTTCTAAGCATGTATCCTGATGCTAATGCTGTGGCTAGATTAACTGCTAGAGCCAAGGCTGGCATCACTCTTGCCGTCCCCTACCACAGCTTCCCTGGGGCTGGGTTTCGAGCATAGGCCGCCCCCTACAACTTAATACAGCATCTTTGATAGCCCGGATGTCCAGGCTGTCTTTGTTGTGTCTAGATGCAAAGCCTTTTCAATAGTGTGGGCAGAAAGACCGAAAACTGCCGCGCACCGCGTCCCCGTGTCTGCACTCTGTGCACTGGCACCCAGTTCGCGAGCTTCGGCCAAGGGGGCTGGAGGTTAAAATACACAGACAGAGAGACAGCGACACGGGTCATTGTTGAAATAGGAGTGGCGGGGCTGCGTCCTGGGCACCTGGCCACCCACATGGCTAGCTCTAGCTTATGCCCCGAAATAATTACACGGAAACTGTATTCTTTTAAACACCACTTGGCCCATTTCTATCTAGCCTCTTCTAGGCTAGCTCTCGCACCTGGACTAGCCCATTTCTAATAATCTGCTGTAGCCCACGAGCTGGCTTACCAGGAATGATCTTAACCTGCGTCTGCCTGGAGTGAGAGAATCATGGCGACTCACTGACTCAGCTTCTTTCTCCCAGCATTCTGTTCTGTTTACTCCACCCACCTATGTTTTAACCTATGAGGGCCAAGCAGTTTCTTTATTGCTTAACCAATGAAATCAACAGATAGAAAGATGACCCTCTTCCATCAGGTCATCCTTGAATTCCCCAAGAATGCCCCCTCTATTGTGTTCAAAGGCAGATTATATAGAGATAGCCATGCCCCAGGCAAAACCCACCAGAAACCACTCTCCTGCCATCAGGAACTCCTAAAGGTCTCGTGCTCAGAGCAGCTGTAGGCACTCAGACCAGGGGATTACAAGAAATTCAGGATCTGGGGTCTCACTGCTCCCAACAGAAAACCACTTTTTCTATTGTGGTTTTTCTTATCTTTTGTATTTCTAACTACTTAATGTAGTCTCCCTCTCCCCCCCCCCACACACACAGAGAGAGAGAGAGAGAGAGAGAGAGAGAGAGAGAGAGAATCCACTACACTGATATTTTGTATATGATCCTGACAAATGGGGGATGAAATGGCCCTTGTAGCCCTTGTCTGCAGATAAAGCCCCTTTATGAATGGGCCTTTATGAATCACACAACTCTTTATCCTTTAGGACTTTAAGAATCTAGCCAGAAAGCCTCGCTGTGACAATTCTTTCTGGAAGTGGCCTTAATACACTTAAGTATGAGAAAATGCAGCATGGGGAAGTCTGCATCCATTTGTCCTGCCATCACTCTTCCTAAGATTTTTTTTTTAATGTTTATTTATTTATTATGTATACAATATTCTGTCTGTGTGTGTCTGCAGGCCAGAAGAGGGCACCAGACCTCATTACAGATGGTTGTGAGCCACCATGTGGTTGCCGGGAATTGAACTCAGGACCTTTGGAAGAGCAGGCAATGCTCTTAACCACTGAGCCATCTCTCCAGCCCCCTCTTCCTAAGATTTTAAAGATGTATGTATCTTATTGTGTATGTGAGTTGTTTTGCCTGCGTGTATGAATGTATCTCTTGTACATGCCTGGTGCTGGTGGAGACAAAAAGAGAGCAGCAGATTCCCTGGTAGTGTAGTTACAGGTGATTGTAAACCAGCATGTGGGTGCTGGGAACCAAATACAGGGCCTCTGCAGGAGCCGCAAGTGCTCTTAACCGCTGAGCTGTCTCTCCAGCCCCTTCTACCTGTTTTAAGAATATTATAGACAGAAACATCCCTCCTCCCCTCTCCAGAAAGCTACAGATACTTACTGAGAGTGTTGCTTTGTTAGTTTCTGGCTATCCCTCTGCCACGTGTGCATAAATTAGTGGAGCAACACTGGTTACTTTGTTTCCATCCCCATGTTCCCTGTTACAATGTGCCAGTAGACTGACTAAGCAGATTTGGCCCCAAATCTTTTTTTTTTCTGGGTATTTATTTATTATGTATACAATATTCTGTCTGCAGGCCAGAAGAGGGCACCAGACCTCATTACAGATGGTTGTGAGCCACCATGTGGTTGCTGGGATTTGAACTCAGGACCTTTGGAAGAACAAGCAATGCTCTTAACCACTGAGCCATCTCTCCAGCCCCATGGCCCCAAATCTTTAGGCTCCTTCTCTCCTGCATTCTCGGGCTCTGGTCATGTAAAAATCCCCTTGCTCCCCTTGTCCCCTTATTTGAGCATAACATTGAATTCTATGCCTTCCTAGCTATGCATATATATGGATCACAACTCCCTCTTCTGGCCTCTGTAGGCACTGCATATATGTGGTATACGTACATACATGCAGGCAAATGCTCATACACGTGAAATAAAAATAAATATTTTTAAAATATATGTGAGCTGGGCTGGTGGTACATATCTTTAGTCCCAGCACTCAGGAGGCAGAGGCAGATAGATCTATGAGAGTTCAAGGCCAGCCTGGTCTACAAAGTGAATGAGTTTCGGGGCAGCAGGGCTACAAAGAGAAACCTTGTCTCAAAACATAGATAGATAGATAGATAGATAGATAGATAGATAGATAGATAGATGGATGGGCGGGCAGACAGACAGATGATGGATAGGCAGACATGTAGGTAGATAGATAAATGATGGATATGTAGGTAGGTAGGTAGGTAGATATGCTGGAAGGTAGAAGATAGATAGATAGATAGTAGATATGTAGGTAGGTAGATGATAGATATGTAGGTATGTAGATAGATGATAGGTAAATATATAGATAAATAGATAGTAGAAATAAAAGTTCTGTAACCATTCTAGTACAAATCTGTATCAATATTTTCATTTCTCCTTGGAAAATAACTAAGAATTGAAAGGCTGCATCTCGTGGCAAGTGTATGATTAACTTTTTAAGAAATAAGAACTGGACTGAAGAGGTGAGCCCAAAACACATACTGGTTTTTGTTTGTTTGTTTGTTTGTTTCAGAGGACTTGGGTTCAGTAGCCATGTCAGGCAGCTTGCAATCACCTATATACTTCAAGGTACCCAATGCCTTCTGGCCTTCTCAGGCATCTGTAAACACACACACACGAAATAAATATTCTTAAAAAATAAAAAAAGAATGAAATGGTAACCTATTATCCTAAATATGCATTTCCATCATCAGTGTATAAACTAATTCATCCAATCTTCACCCATACAAAATATGCAGTCTTTAGTGTGTTAAGTCCAGTCACGTGATCTCTTCCTGTGCTCAGATGGCGCCCTGTGACCAGAATCCTCTTAGCACGCTTGGTCAGAGAAGTGCATGCATTTCGGGTCAGCATATACAGCCTTTAGATTCTTGGGAAACCTAAAGGCTACGTCAGTGGTGATTCATACCCTTTTGTGTCTCAGTGGGCAGGGCAGGATGCTGATGCTGCCCTCCAACTCCACTTCCTCCAAACCCACACCATGGAACTAAGGTCTTCCTTTTGCCCAGATGGATTTGTGCTTTTGAGACAGAGTCACATGTGGCTCAGGCTGGCCTCAAGCCTGATATTTTGCCAAAGATGACATCAACCACCTGATTTTCCTGCTTCTACCTCTCGAGTGCTGGGTTACTCCCACATCCAGATATACAGTGTTGGGAGTACTAGACAGGTCCTCTACCAACTGAGCTACGTTCCTAGATCCTACATGGATTTCTGAACGGGGTTTCTTTAATTGCATTTTATTTATTTCATGTGCAAGTCTCTGTGTGAAGCTTTTAAAT